GCTAGATTGAATCCTGCCAGGGAGGTGGGGGCGGGAGGTGGGAGGAGCTGCAGATGGAGAGAAGCAGAAACGCCGCCTGGTGTCCAGACCTTCCTGAGAGGAATGAGAGGCTCCATGTATCTAAAGGGAACGTGGCCCAGACACCAGCACCCCTGCACCCTGTTGACTGGGAGCCAGGGTTCAGTTTCCCCATCTGTGGTTTTCATCTCAGGGGCTGGTGGTGAGAAAACTGAGCGTGCCCCTGCCTTGTGCCGCCAGCAGCTCCTGGAGTGTGTTTCCCGGGTCAGGCCTCCTGGAAGAGTCTCTAGGATCGAGCTGTCTCGCTGTGAGCCGCTCGCTGGTGGACTGGGCTGGGCGCTGGTATAGGACCAGCTGGGACCAGGGCAGTTGGATCCCATGACAATCGGGATAAGGCTCATGCACTGGAACCCAGACCTTGCCCTTGCCAGAGGCTCGCTCAGCTGGCTTTAACCACACTTGGGGGAGGGCACAGAGAGTTGAGAAGCTCACTCCATTCTACTCCATCTTAGCCTCACCAAGCCCAGGGCCTCCACGAAAGGAGGATCTCCAAAGACCATTGTCTTTCCTTTAGTCATTCAACAAACATTTATTGTGTGTCTGTTTGGTGCAGGACCCAAACCACCTGCCCACATGGAGCAGACATTCTAGTGCAGAGGGAAGGGTGGCAGGAAGTAAATACACTAAAGGGGAAGATAAGGGGAGGCGGGGACAGGCAAGAGCGTAAGACAGGGTGTCGTGTACGAGGCCTGTCTGCTGGCTGGGGGCTGCTACTTCTGAGTGCAGGGACTCAGGTGTCTCTGTCAAGGAGGGGACGTTTGGGTTGAGACTCGAACAGCAAGAAGTCATCAGGGGAAAGCATTCCCAGCAGAGCAGAAGCCAGGCCCAAGGTTGGCCCCCTTTCCCTGCCCCCCTTTCTCGTAAAGAATCAAGGAGGCCTTCAGGAGCCAGGAGGCACTGCCTGGCAGTGAGTGCTTGGGAAACATTGCCTGGCAGCGAGCAAGTGCCTGATGCCTTCCTGAGTCAGAACTCTTCTCCAGAGCTGGCTTGAGAAGCTCGGCCTGGAAGCAGCCGTGCGCTCTCTGCCTCCTGCCGTGCTCTGCCGTCCTGTCCTGCGCTCCGAATACTCTCTGGATAGTCTCCCAGCCATTTCCCAATGAGCAGTGAGATGGGAGACCCGTGCATCTTGGTGGGCAGGTCTGGCCCACAGAAGGGTGTGTTCCTTCACTGAGTGCCAGGGTCTATACAGTGCCAGGGTGTGCCTGCCGGGTGCTGGGGCAAGGATACAACAGTGCACTCACTGGGCAGCCCACCAGGAGACAGGCATTACCACCCCACTCCCCAGACCGCGAGTCCTGGAGCATCTGACATTCCAGGGTCAGGAGCCCCATCCGGGGGAGGTGACTGTGGCTGAAATCTTGGGGATGAGCTGAGCCCCTGGGGGAGGAGATCCGCCCACAGGGAACGCAAAAGCTGCGTCTGACCGTGGGAGTGGGTGTGGCAAACATGGAATAAAGGACCTGAGGGACTGAGGCCAGGAGCTGGGGGCGGGACCGGTGGAGTTGGCAGAGGACAGCATGTCCTGAGAAGAGTGCCAGCCTCCAAGGACTTCCAGCAGGACAGTGGCACCATGAGGCATGTGTGGTGACATGATCTCTGTGTGGAGGGTGCATTGGAACAGGGGGGATGGGAGGGGGCAGCTGGGCCTGGGGGTGTCGGAGGGCTGGATGGCAGCAGGAGGAGGGTGGAGTCTGGACTCTCCGGGTCTTTGGGAGGAGGCAGAGCCCCGGCCCAGAGCCTGCAGGGTGGCCTGAGGGCATCCTCCTTGGGCAGGTGGGAGCTGAAACCAGGTGTGACAGGCTGGCCTGGAGGATGAGGCCAGAGGCGGAGTTGCCAGGGAGGCCCCAGGGCCACCAGGGGCATCATCCAAGCCCAGACATGAGCGTGCTTCTTGAAGGGAGTGGCCAGTGGTGACCCCAGGGCTGCAGAGGCATGGGGTGAGACTGGTCCCTGGTCCAGGAGGAGCTGCTGGGGGTGGAGGCGCTCCGGGCCTGGGCGCCAGATTGGAGTGGGCCGTGGAGCTGGTGGGAGGGGAGAAACGGGGACAGCGGGTACCGCCAATTCTCCTGAGTTTTTTAATCTTTCTCTTTTATTTAGCACAATCAGTGAAAGGCGTGTTCTAGAACACCAGCCTTAGTCCTCAGACATGTTAATATGAGGCCAGCTTGTAATGGGAGAACAAACACTGCCCATGGCCTGAATGCGGGCAGCAAAGTCCATTTCCAGGCGGCGTCCACCTCAGGGAAACTTCCAAGCCCAGTTGCTCCCTGTGCGGTTGGCGCCGAAAGCCGGGGTGCCCTGTGTTCTCAGGGGTGTCGGCAGTGCTGCAGGCACACCTGGGACCTGCTCTTGAAGTCACCCCACAAGGAGCAAGGCAGCCCACGGATGCCCAAAGCGCAGCTCGGAACAGAGCCAGCAGGCTGGACTCCATGCACACTGTTTGATCTGCAAAAAGTGAAGAAGGAGCAGGCGCGGAGCGGGTAGAGAGGGAGGGAGATATTTTCTCTTTTATGGCAGAAACCTGAAAGTGTTTAGAAGCCAGTGGGAAGGGTCCTGTTGAGAGGGAGGTGTTGGCTGGCAGGGGAGGGCGAGCGAAGGTGCGAGTTCCTGGAGAAGACAGCACACCAGCTTTGCACACAGACCACGACAGGCCCTCCTGCTGCCGGGCGCCCACGCTGTCGCCCACGGCCCTCCTGCAGGCGCCTTGGAGTGGGTCCCTGGCAGTGGGCAGGGTTGGCCCGCCCTTGCAGAGCGAAGGACAGCCTGGGTCTGGGAGCTGCGTGTGAGGGTTGGAGGTATCTCCGGGGCCTGTGATCCGCTCCGGGTTGGGTTGGGCTGGGCTGTAGTTGAAGGGCTTTGGGGGACACTAAAGTCCTCACAGGCTCAAACCAACGTCCACCGTGCAGGGTGGTGGCCCTCCCTCTGGAGCTGCTCTGACATTCACGTGTGTGTTCATGGCCAGGCACATACAGGCACACGCACACATGTGCAGAAATGCACATACGTATGCATATTCACACATGCATATACATAGACACAGACTCGGGCACACAGGCACACACATGCACAAATGCATCACATGTAGAGAGACACAGGCACATGTGCACACACAAAATGCACATATATGCATATGTATGCACACACACACACACCCAGAGCTGCCCACGCAGGCACACACACACACACCCAGAGCTGCACATGCAGGCACACACACACACACACCCAGAGCTGCACATGCAGGCACACACCACACCCACACACACCACCACCAAGCTGACACGCACACACACACACACCCCAGAGCTGCCACACGCAGGCACACACACACACACACACCCAGAGCTGCCCACGCAGGCACACACACACACCCAGAGCTGCCCACGCAGGCACACACACACACACACACCCCCAGAGCTGCCCACGCAGGCACACACACACACACCCAGAGCTGCCCACGCAGGCAACACCACAACCACACCACACCACCACCCCCCAGAGCTGCACATGCAGGCACACACACACACACATATACCCAGAGCTGCACATGCAGGCACACACACACACATATACCCAGAGCTGCACACGCAGGCGCACACACACACACACCCAGAGCTGCCCACGCAGGCGCGCACGCACACACACACACCCCCAGAGCTAGCCCACATACAGGCCACACACACACACCACACCCCAGAGCTGCCCCACCCCCCCGCCAGGCCACACACACACACACACACCCAGGGCTGCCCACGCAGGCACACGCACACATATGCCCAGAGCTGCACATGCAGGCACACACACACATATGCCCACATGTACACTTGTTTGCGTGCAGCACAGGCATGCACACCCAGGCGTATTTATGCATGCACACACACCTACATGTGCAGACCCTCTGGCCTGAGAAGCCCAGGTCTTCCAGAGAGATGGCTGTGCAAGCTTCTCTCTCCCAGGACCAGGCAGAGGCAGCACAGAAGCCCTGATCCATCTGTTCCTAACCCAGCAAGTGGCGCACAATAGCCTCTCTGTGTGGCCCTGAGTGGAGATGAGATTCAAAAAGAAAAAGAGCAGCTTTCAACTTCCTCGACATGAAAGGTCATCGCCCCCTCCCCACGTGGGGGAGTCAGACGACGAGGGAGCCTGGGAGCCCAAGCAGGCTCTCGACAGACAGCTGCCTCTCGCATGTGATGGTGCCACTGTCTTTCTCACCAGCAGCACGACGCTGCAGGCTCTAGGGGCTGCGGGTGGAGACAGATGGCCTGTGCCCTTTGCATCCTTCCTGCCAAGCCGGCTGCTGTACTCCAGATGCGGGCCTTGTTTGTCCTCCCTGCATATCTCTGAGGTCCCCACGAATTGCTGTGTGGCATGAATGTGAGATCCTTGCCACGCTATCCAAAAGGCAAGCCTCCACTTACAGGAGGGACGAAGGCCCTGGGGCGTGGTGGGTGTCCCATTCCCCTGGGAGTTGGGGGATGTAGAGTGCCCCTCTGCACCTGACCTGCCACCTGGTGGTCACTGTGGTGAGAAAGAGATCCTGGGACTGCAGGCCTGGGGTTTTGGGGTGAAGATGTCCTGTATAGAGGCACCAGCTGCCCACAGCCCTGCAGCCACCCTGGCCGAGAGCAGATGATCCAGCCAGTTCTTGGGAACATTATCCTCTTTGTAAAAGTAACTGTGGAATTAGAGCTTGATGTGGGCTTTGGGGGTGCCCTGCAGTGTCTCAGTTCATTCCTACCCAGCAAAGTGGCTCACGAGAGAGCAGGGTCTGCACCGACAGCGGGACCTCCGCGTTCACCTGCTCCCGAGACCACCAGGGAACCATGCTGGGGCTGGGGCTAGGGCTGAAGGTGGGGCAGGAGCCCAGATGCACGGACACCTGCATCATTTGTCCAGCACTGGATCCCAGGGTGTCTCTAGGCATTTTAAATAATCTTTAAAAACAGGGGAGAAAGAAACCGATCCCCTTGAACTTTGGGGCTGTGGCTCCCTTAATCTTTCAGTGACTGCCATGTGAACAGAGCTTTCTGTGGCTCCAAAGAACACAGCCGTATATTCCTTTGGTTTTCTTGAGGTTCTTATGCCAGAAAGATGCAGGTGTTGCATGCCCTCTTGCCCTGTGAGGCTGTGCCCTCAGCCGCCAGCCCAGGACTGGGCGTCCGGCCGTTCTGTCCACGCTGCGGCCCTGCTGTCCGCTAGATGGCGCTGCGTCACGCCCGTGGCCGGCCCGTCTGGAACCCAGGAAGGCCTGGAGGAGTTCAAGGTGGGTCTCTGGAGGCCCAGGTGTCAGCACAATGATGGGGATGAGTCCCCTCCCTGGAGGGTGTGAGATTCCCTCATTGCTGGGCTCTGGCCACCCGGAGCACAGATTTTGTTCACTTACTGCTGGAGAAGCATAGCCTGCCTCAGAACCGCCCCCTCCCTTCTGTGGATCTGGGAGACATGGGTGCAGGCGTGTGTGTGTACGTGTGTGTGCTCACGCCTGTGCCTGTGTGTGCCTTGTGCATTCTGTGCATGTGCATGCATGCACACACCTGCGCACACTCCTGTGAGTGCGTGCTCTTGTGCATATGTAGGGGTTGTGTGTGTGCATCTGGGAGCAGGGAAGGGTAGGAGGCAGCTCCGTCTAGCCCACTGGAGGCCGGTCCTGTGAATGTGCTGGACTCCAAGATGACAAAGACCTGCCCAGGTCTCAGCCTCCGCTTGTAACTGCTCTGAGCCTCCTTTTACTCATCTGTGAAATTGAGATGCCCCAGTTACTTCCCAGGTGTGATGAGGCCCCACCGAGACCATGGGGGAGAGGGCCCTCCCCGCAGGCATGAGGCAAAGTGACGTCAGTCCACACCTGTGCTGTGGTCACGCACCTCCGGCAGCGGTCACTGGAAAGACGCTGAGGTCTGCCCTGGGCTGAGGCCCATGGCATCCTGTCCATCATGGGGGTGCCACGGAGTCCCCATCCCACAGGGGAGGAGATACAGGCTGAGAGGCGAAGCCACAAGCCTGGCTCTGAGCCCAAGCTGCTGTCCCGGGCCGCGGTGCCCACACTGCCACTCAGCCCCGGCTGGAGATGCAGTGCTGAGGCGGGCAGGTGGTTTCACCAGCCCCACGAGGCTCAGTGGGACCTGGTGGAGGGTGGCCCTGGTCTTGGAGGAGACTCGAGCCCGGCATCTGTGTGCTGGAAGCTGGGAATGCTGAGAAGCAGGAGGAAGCTGGGGGGCGCCTCCTGAGCCCCCATGGCGTGGGGACAAAACCCAGGACCCTCGCCAGGCAGAGACCCCACCGGGCTCAGTCGCCAGACTTCTGGCTGTCAGCTGGCACAGAGGCCAAGTAGGGGCAACCCCAGAGGAGGAGAATGTGTCACTGGGAGTCTGGACAGCAGTCAACAAGTCCTGGCCCAAACGTGGAGTGCCTGGTGCCGGGCCCTTTGGCAGGGCCTTCCTTGGGGACGGAGGTGACTGCTGGTGCCTGGATCCAGCAAGCTCCCCCATCACCCCGGGCCACTGGAGGCCCTGAGTCACTCCCCGGGTGAAAACACAAAGCCAGGCTGGGGCAGCTGACAGGTGGTTCCCAGGGAGGAGCTGAGGGGCTGAGGGGCAGGAGAGGCGGGAGCTGGACACAGTGACTTCTGCGGTGTCAGGCCTCGGCCATCTCCGAAGGAGGGTTCACGTGGACAAGATTTCTGGACGAGATCAGCCTGCTTACCTGTCCGCCAAGGCCCTGCGGCTCGGGTGTCTTTGCGAACCTGTCAGTGATTGGGGTTGGGCCCAACAGCCTGTGCCAGGCTCTTTGGCAGGGCAGTCCTTGCAGCAGTCCTTGAAGGTCACCTTGAAAGCCGAGGCTGGGCAAGGCAACAGACCCATCAGGCACGGGGGGATGGTGTCTGGGGCCCACGAAGGTCACGGTGTGGCCTCACAGGTGCCAATGAGGGAGCCAGAGTCCAGTCACCTGCACTTGCCAGCTGGGCGCCCTGGTACTGGGGGACAAGCTCCTTCCTGGTTTGCGCAAAGGCTGGTGGGTCCTGTCCAGGGGCTGCTGCCCAGCAGTGTGCTCTCGGATCCCTAGGACACGGGGGTCCCAGCCGCATGCGGTGCTCTGTCCCATCAGGCACTAGGCTCCCCCCTCCTATGGAACCGGAGCTCCTGAGGGGTTGCTGGAAACGTGTGGAACTCTTTTCCTGGGGGCTGAGCCCCCCCTCCAAGGTAGGAAAGAGGACAGTATTAGTGATGGGGACACAGGTACACATGTGGTTTCAGAGCATCAGCTTGGAGAGTGTCTGACTGAGCCGTGAGACAGCCTCACCTGGGGAGAACTTTCTTCCCATTTCACAGAGGGGTAAATAGAGGTGGGTGCTGTGGCATCCTGCCTGGGAGCCCCGGCTGCTTCGAGGTTGAGGAAAGCAGGGAGGTGAGCAGCTCGGGGCCTGCCTTGCAGGTGCACCCGGACCCTGGCTGGGCCTTGCCACCCTGCTCTGGCTTCCTCAGAGCCCTCTGAGCCTTGGCCGGTGGGTGGACCGAGAAGGGTCTGCAGGGAGGAGTCTGGAAAGAGCGAGGGGCTTTGTGAGGGACCACAGGGGAAGCAGGGCCGAGCCTCGGTGCCTCAGCCTCCGCTGTCCTCAGCTGGGTCTCCCACCGCGTCCCTTCCACTCACTGTGGTCTTGGTGTCCTTCTTGCTTGGGCCCCATGGGTCAGCTGTGGGTGCTTGGACACCCATAAGTGGCCATCCTGCCTGGGTCCCTGGACCTCTTGCCGCTTCTCCCATCCCCACACACCTGCCACCACGCCAGCGGCCACTTTCTAGAACCTTCCTTAGCGAATGAGTTCCTCCATCCCAAATCAGGTGCAGGGGAATGGTGAGGCTTTCTGTAAAAGCCTGTCTGCTGGTGACGGATTCCTGCACAAACAGACCTCCACTAGGGACTGGGGCGACAACCTCTCCCCGCTGAACGCAGTTGGCGTGTCTCCCGTGGAGCCCGCGCCTCCTGGGAACAGCCTCCTCCTCTGACAAACAGGGCTACAGAGCCAACTTGTTACAGTTTGCGGACCCGCTGCCCTCCGCCGCGGCTCAATGAGGTGGGTGCCTGGTCCCGGGCCGCCCCTCTGGTGCTGGTATTTGGCTCCTCTTTTTGCAAAATAGAAAGGAATTTCCAGAATCTCAGCGAAACTACACCGCAGCTTGGACTGTGGATTTGGCATCTGTGCGCCCTTTCCCTTTCTTGGGGCAGTCAGGCTGGAAGGAGACCCTTTCCCACCCTGAGGTGCAGGGTACTGTGCCTGTGATGCCCTCGTGGGTGCACTAAGCTCCCCGCAGGCCCTGCAAGAGCTTCCTGCTGATCGCTCCCGAGTCACAGATGGAGAAACTGAGGCTGGTTGTTTACTGGGCCTGCCCATCTGGTCAGCAGCAGAGCGGACGCCCCGTCCGTGCAGCCTCAGTGCAGCTGTTGCTGGCCACTCGTTTGTTAGGTTCTGGTGGGACCTGGGGGACATCACATTCCGGGAGCCTGCCGAGCCACGGCACACACGGTGGGAAGCCATTCAATGTCATTTCTTGAGAAATCATGCTTCAATCGAATCTCTTCAGTAAGTTACATGGGTTTTTCACTAGTTAACCAAAATAAATTGCATCAGAGGCTAGTGTTTATGAATTTTTAAAACAACGCGCCTGTATTTATCTGCCATTTGTTTCATTTAATTTTTTTTGTCTCTGTGCCTTCCTGTTTGGGGGCAGTGCAGCTGCGGGCCGGGCCGGGCCCGGAACACTCAGCGTAGGCTGCCTAAATATTTTATTTGCCGGTTGCAAACAGGAAACGTAATTAGAGGCCTGATTGCCAGCCACGCCAGGGAAAGGGGGTCTCGAGGGGGGCCGGGCTCCCTTTAATCTTTGGAATTTATAGCGTTTGGAATACAGAGCCACAGGGAACAGCCTTTTTGTTTTTTATTTTCTTAACTAGAATGAAGGCAAAGGTTTCTGCAGATAGGAAATTCCCAACTCACAGGACATCCATTGAAATTTTAATAGAATGTTAAAATCCAGCCCCTGAAAGCATCCAGCAGCAACTCCGGTTCACTTTGAGTCACTGGGTTGGAAAACACAAGAGAAGGTCGAGGAGCAAACACGGACGACGTGGTGGTGGGAAGTGGGGGGAGAAGGAGGAGAACTTGCTTCGAAAATAATGAAGAAAAACAGAGTTCACAGCTCTTGCAGAGCTCCGTAATTAAAATCCCGGGCGGAAGCGGTTATTTCTCTTTAAGCAGCACCAGAATTAATTTGCCCTTCTAAGCCCTTTATTTTCTGGGCAAAAGAGCTACGCGTCTCTTGCAGTAGCGTACTTGGTAGCCGGCCCTCACCCGGGAAGACCCCAGAAGCCGGGAGTGAGGTGGTCCAGCCTTCCTGTCGGGAGGGGTCAGTTCCAGGGCAGAAGTTGGTGCACCTGGGGAGCTCCTGGCGAGGTGTCCCCTTTCCTGTGTCTCATGCAGCCTTGCACATGTGGGTGAATGTGTAGGGACCCGGGGATGGAGTTGAAGATTGGGACCACCCGGGCCTGCCGGGACACACACAGAGCAGGTAGCGTTAAGATGACCCCTCCTCAGAACAAAGGTTAGCAGCTTCAGGTCTGGCTGACCCTGCCTGGTGGGCAGGTGGCCTCTGTTCCCAGCAAGCATGTCAGGGAACACCGCGTCCAACCCCATACCACTATTCTTGGCTTCAGCTCCCTAGGGGCTGTTCCTGGCTTCCCCAGCCTCTGCGGAGCTCTGGTGGGAGACAGACCAGGCGCTGGGGCTGATTCAGGTGCTACTTCTTGTTGGCCTGTGGTCTGTGGTGGCGCCGGCCTCCTGGAGCTGCTTCTCCGACTGCAGTGTGATGGACGTGCCGTCCCCACCTCAGTGAGGCTCAGAGTGGAAAGTGTGTGGGAGAGCTCCCGGCCAACCAGGCCCCTGCAAGCTAAAAGAAAAAAAAAATAAGATAAAAAAGAGGAAAGTCATCTTTAATCTCACTGCCCAGAAATAATCTCATGACAGGTACGGCACAGAACCTTCCAGATGTTTCCACGTGCCTTATAAACTTTAATGTACATTTTCACAAAAATGAGGCATGCCCACTGCCCTTGCCTCTCACTCTCTAGTGCGCAGTGAATGCCTGTCCCGTTCGCTGGGCATGAGCTTCCGCAGCAGCGTCTTGGCGTCTGCTGCAAGCCCGTGCCGTCATTCGCATGCCCGTTCTCCTGTCGTGGAAGGGAAGGGTGTTTTCTACTTTTATGAACAGCACTGCGGCAGGCGGGCTGTGCTCATGGATATTTGTGGACTTGCTGATCACACACAGCGTCTTTGGAGGTCAGGGGTGGTGCCTGGAGCTGCTCAGAGTTGGGGTGTGTGGATGTGGGCAAGGGGCTCCCCACACCAGGGTTGGCTGCAGGGGCTGGGACAGGGCTGGCCCCAGGGCTTCCATGCACAGCTGTGCAGGCTGCCTACTGCATTCTTCTGGGAGACCTTGTCATCTGAGACATGACGTCGACGGCATCATCTGGAATTGTGCATGGTACTGGCTCTGCTGGGAAGGTCTGGGCGAGGGGAGGACCTCGAGAACCCCGTGGCCCCTCTGCTGGGATGCCTGAGTGGGCTGACCGCACTCCTGTCGCTTGGCTGCTGTTGGTTGATTGCACCTTCCCCTTCGCTGGAGGGCTGACCTGGGTCTGGGCGCTGTTGGCCTTGGGTGAGGAGTGAAGCCCTCTCTGGCTGAGTTGAGTCTCTGTTGCTGCCGGTAACTGGGTTCCCCTCTCAGGCCTCCCTCTCTCCCCTTCTCGTGGCCTTTGCTGTGGCCTCTGTCCTGGGCTCTTTTTCCCTTTTGAGACGGAGTCTAGTTCTGTCACCAGGCTGGAGTGCAGTGGTGTAATGTCGACTCATTGCAACCTCTGCCTCCCAGG